CTCAGATTCTCCAGCATCGGCAGTTCCTACTATCTCTCCATCAGTGCCTAATTGAGCAATGTTACAAAAAATTGACGATACATTTGGATTTTTGTCTCATCTGACAAACGTCAATGTTGAGAGTTAAGAAGTTGGCACTACACTTCCATTCTGTCAAGTAAAGCTGATATTACTTTCTGCTGATAATTGTCAGGATTGTATGCTTGATACTTCCTTGGGATATAGGGCTACCAAGCCATGCTGTTAAGCTGACGTCATGATCTTTTTCTGCCCAAAATTTAGTTAATCATAATGTAAAAATCAGAACAGGAATGCTGTTTACACCAGACTCTAGAAATATAATGTATATAACAACATGATTTCTCTGCCCTTATGAAAAGTGAATGGAGTAATTACTGTACCAAGACAAGACAGAGTTTGAACCAATAAGTTTATTTACATAAAATGCATTCAACAGTACCACGTTATCATAATGATGTTAAATCATTGCTTACAATTCAGGGCACACGAGCTATAAATATGCAAGCCACCATCTATCTCAACATAGGAGTGATTTTAATGGGTAAGATGTTTGTGGAAGGTGCAGCTGAGGGGAAAAATCCACACCATAGTGGGAGCTGAGTGAAGCTGCTGTCATTTTAACTCCTGGACCTAAATTTTCAATAACCCAGGAATGTCTTCCAGATGGCAGAGATTTAAAACAAACAAGGCTGTTGGGTTGGAGCATAAAACTGGTCAGGAACCAAGGGAACGGGAATAAAGTCTGAGGCAGACAATGGCTTCAGGGGCTGAACGCAGGAGAGTGAGGCATCCTCAAGGAGCCAGGAGGGAAAAAGCACACCTTCCAAAGCAATGAGATTCTGCAGAAAATCAATTTACGAAAACTACCCCTTGCCTCTTCTTGATACTCTTCACACTTTAACTGCGTTCCCACCATATTGACCTGCTGAATTCAGAATTTAAAATGCTGGCAAGGCATTGCACATGTAGCCTGAATGGGACTGATGTAAAGTGAGGGCAGCTGGTCTTCCAGTACTTGGATTAAGCTATGTAAAGATGATGGAGGTTATATGATGGCACAAAACTCCTTTCTACCATCTTACCCTTATCCTTGTCTCCTCCCCCAACCTCATAATCCTGTTTCATGGGTTATAGTTGAGCCCTTAGGCTTCATGATAAAAGACATTGATTTTAGTTAAGTCTTTTGAAGCAGTGCTGGCTCAAGATTTAAAGGTTTGCAGGTTGGATGCAACAATCTATTATGGTCCCTTAAAATAGCCACCGACGATGAAATAATTAAAATCAGGGATCCTCAAGATGCTGGGATTAGAGGAGCACAGATATCTTGGGAGGCTGAGTAGGTTACAGAGATAGGGAGAACTGAGGCAGTGAAAGTATTAAAGGATAGAATTTTTAAATTATAACACTGCTTAACTGGAAGCCAGTATAGGTCAGTGAGTGCCAGATGGACAGGATTTGGTGCAAGTTAGGTCATGGACAGCAAAATCTGGATGACTTTGAGTTTACGGAGATCGTTATGTGGGAAGCTGTTGTCAAATGTAGAGCAGGGGAGGGGTTGGTCAAAGTTACAACGGTCATAGTGATGGCACAGATACGTACTTGGAAGCTGTTCAAATGCGACAGAACATTGTGAACAGTTTTGCTCAACCTCATACAGTTGCCAGGGAGAGGGATGGAGCCAGCATTTGGAAAACAGTTTGTACTGGGGGATGAAGACAATGACTTTGAACTTTCTAATATTTAATACTTTAAAAAAAAGCTTCAGTACGAGCCTGGAATGTGCTTACTCAGACAATAAGGTAATATTACTTCTGTTGTTACTGGAGATGTTAGCAGAAAGAACATAAGAAATTGGAATGCTGGAAAGAAAAGCAGGTTCAACAAGCCTACCCCATACTCAGGATAACTGGGGCACCAATAAATGACTACTTCCTGCATGCCTTCTACCCACACCATGGACAACTACCCACGTGTGTACATTCACCCGCACTGATGCACACAATGACTTGCACGTGTATCCAAACTATGCATTCACAGACACATGCACCCCACTCATCCACACACATAGATACATACACACACCCTACTCACCCACTTACCCATACATATACACACCCCATACACACGCAATTCATCCACATCCAGCCACACACACACGTGCGCACACTTCCCACTCAACCACACACACCCATTTTTACATGCACCACACACTCCCCACTCATGAGCACCCATCCACATGCCCTCACCCTCTCATTCACGCATTCTTAGTCTTATATTCGCACTCAGTGACACAATCCTCGCTTGCCCCACACATCAATATTCACAATGCCCACATAAACATGACTCCATGCACACAATCCCCATGTAACCACACACACACAGCACATGCCACATATATTCATACAGTCACCCACATCCAAACTCAATCCCGACATACCCATACACATACCATCCACACATTCCATTCATACAGACCACATATACATGTTACAAGTCAACAACTCCCACACACACACACACACACATACACACAAATAAAAACATCCTGTCCCCAAATACACGCATCACACTTACATAACTACACACACAACCATGTAATTGTATGGAGTTTGCAGAACTAATAAGGGTGAAATAAAAAGTATGGGAGAGTTCTTAGACATCACAAACCCTCCTCTCCTGTCCACTGGTTATCTAAACCAGTCCAACAGATTGCATCGCCATATGTAACATCAATCATTAATTCTATCTTCTATAGAAAAAGCCTCTTCTAGACAACCACTAGATTCATAATAATCAGCAGGTTAAAATATTAGTATCATAGAGTAAAATTTCTTGGGCAGGGAGTGGCCTTAACCTAACACCAATTCTGCTTCACACCAGAATGTGCAAATGCAGTACATATTCATACTATGTTTAACCCTTGAATTCCTGCACACGTTGAAGCTGGGCTGAAGTAATGTAACGTGCAAACAAACATTTAAACTTGGTAGCTGTTGAAAGAGGAACTCAATGAATAAATCACCACACAGCCTGGAAAGGTCAGTTGGATAACATAATCAAGTTCCACATCAGCAACCTGGTGCAGAGTTAGAACTCAAACTGCAACCAACATTCTGAGCAAAAGTTAAGGTATTAATATAACTTCAAGGAGACCAAATAATAGAATCGATGCGATAGAAATTCAGTCGAGGAATGCACTATATTAAATTCAAGGCAAATATCCCTGCCCATCCTGCCTCTAATACACAAACGTTACACAGTTTAATTAAAAGGACATTGGAAATTTCCAAACACATGAACTTCCAAACTCTATTACAGTAGGTGTTTGTGTTATTAGAGAGATAGCAGCTGCTGTAACATGAAATCAACTGGACTAGTCTAAATGCAATTTGATGCTACAAACAATTCTGCAAATTCTATATGTGCAATTTTATTCTGACCCACAGAAGTCAAAGAGTTTTACAGCATTGAAAAAGACCCTTAAGCCCATCACGTCTGCAGCAGCTATCAAAAACTTATCTATTCTACCATGAACAGAAATTGCTGGAAAAATTCAGCAAATCTGGCAGCATCTATGGAGAGAAAGCAGTGTCAATGTCTGTGTTTCTAGTTTCCAGCATCCGCAGTTCTTTGGTTTTCTTGATTAGTTCCTATCTACTCTGATCCCATTTCCCACCACTTATAGCTTTGTATGCTATGGCAATAAGGCACTGAGTCATTGCTACCTTGGCATGCAGCGGACATCTGTTAAATACCTCAGCATCATATTTTACATTTTTGAAATAGGCCACTAAACTAATGGGTGAATGCCAATTTTTGAAACCAACGTGCAAGTAGAGATAAGGATAGTATAAAATGAAGTGGATGCTGGAAATGTGAAATAAAAGCAGAAAATGCTGGAGAAACTGGGGCGAGGAACAGAGTTAACGTCTGGAGTCCAGTATGACTCTTCCTGAGAACGGTTTCTGGCGAAAGATTAGTGGACGTGAGATGTTAACTCTTTTTCTGTCCCTCTGTACAGACCTACTGAGTTTTTCCAGCAATTTCTGTTTTAGTTTGAGATAAGGTTAGTGCTTTAAGAGTGGTGAGGGGTTATATGACAGCGTGTGAACTGGAAAAACAAAGGCACACAAAGTGGTCTGCAACGTTCAGTCTCTGCATAGTCCCTCGTTACATGGTGTGTGGGATGGAAGGATCATCTGGGTAGTGAGACCCACCAACCCTGAGCTCAGTTCTCGCTCGTTTCAGGCCCGGAGTCGGTGGGGGTGAAGAACTGAACCTTGGGGATGACAAGGGACGAGGTGTTTCTCCTCATGGAGTTGTTCCTCCTCATGGAGCTGCGCTTCCTCAGCGAGTTCTGGTGCGAGAGCTCGCTCCTCTGCAGGGTCTGGATCAGGATGGACGGCTTCTCGTCGAGCTCTCGGGCCGAGCACCTCGGGGTCGCCACCTTGACGCGGTTGCCGAACTTGGAGTAGTCTACCGAGTAGACACCGTCCTCCTCGGTGACGACGGGCACGAAGCGGTAGCCCCACAGGATCTCCTCGGAGATGTACGAGGTCCGGGCCTGTGTGGTGATGCCCGTGGTCTCCACCACCCCCTCGAGGATGACGATGACCTCCAGGTTCTGGCTCTGCAGGTCACTGGCCGAGATCTCATAGAGCGGGCTGCGGCGATCCAACACATGGCTGATGGTGAGCGGAGCGACCAGGAAGATGCTGCCGCTATCCAGGGGGTTGTCCACCGGGATGTCGATCTGGTGCAGCGGCAGGATCTCGCCCTCGGCCGTGGTGCTCCTCCTGACCACTTGCATCCTGACCGAGGCGCTGATGATCATGCTCTTCCTCAGGTCGCCCACCCTGAACATGAAGCAGAGGCGGCCGTTCCTCAGGCAGATGACGGCGTGGCGGCTGAAGATGAGGGTCTCCGCCCGGCGGTGAGCCTGCGCTGTCTTCATGAAGATACAACCCAACATGACGGCGTTGATGATCAGCCCCGAGATGTTCTGCACGATGAGGCCGGTGATGGCGGTCGCGCACTCCTCGGTGATCATTCTGCCGCCGAAGCCGATGGTGACCTGCACCTCGATGGAGAACAGGAACGCCGAGCTGAACGACCGCACTTTGGTGACACACGGCTCGGAGCCTGAGCTCGGCCGGGGGTCGAGGTCCCCATGGGCGAACGCTAGCAGCCACCACATCATGGCGAAGAGGAGCCAGCTGCACAGGAACGACATGGTGAAGATGAAGAGGGTGTAGCGCCATTTGAGGTCCACCAGGGTGGTGAAGACATCCTGCAGGAAACGGCCCTGCTCTCGGATGTTCTTGTGAGCCGCGTTACACGAGCCGTTCTTGGCGATGAAGCGAGCCTGGCGGGGCCGCGCCGTGTACCGGGGCTGCCGGCGCACGTTCTCGGCGGCGATCCGGGCCAGCACGTACTCCTCCGGGATGATGCTCTTCCTGGCCAACATTCTGGCCGCATAGTCCTGGCCTTACACACACGGGGCACCCTGGCCTAGAGGGACAGAGCGGCACTCCTGAGTCTGAGATAGTAGGAACTGCCGAAGGGTCCAGACCCGAAACGTCAGCTTTCCTGCTCCTCTGATGCTGCCTGGCCTGCTGTGTTCCTCCAGCTCCACACCTTGTTATCCCCGACTCCCGAGTCTGAGTTGGGCAAACACAGTTTGTTCCTTGTACTGGGATCTGGGGCGAGAGAGAGAAATTGGCAATTCTGCCCTTGAGTTGCTAAGCAGAACACTTAGTGTGGTGTCTGAGAGAGAGGGGAACACACTCTTGATCCTCTGTAGATTAGGCAGAGCTTGGCACTTGCAGTGGTGTCTGGGAGAGAGAGAGAGATTGCCGCTTCTGTCCTCAACTTGCTAAGCAGAGCACATTTTCCTCGCTACCATCAGTTCTGTGGAACTGTCACTCGACCCGAAACGTTAACTCTGATTTCTCTACACAGAGCTGCTGAGCTTTTCCAGGGATTTCTGTTTCTGAAGTAGAACACTTATAGTGGGGTCTGAAGGAGAGAGAGAGAGACTCACACACACACAAACTCCTGATCCCACTCTGGTAAATAGACCAGTTGAAGTGGTGTCTGGTAGTGTGGCACTCCTGATCCTCTGTGGATAGGCAGAGCCTGGCACTTGTAGTGGTGTCTGGGATTGAGACAGAGAGAAAGACAATCCAGTATCGGTGTAGCGGTGCCTGGTATTTAAAGCAGCATATCCTCTTGCTATACACACGAGCAGGAAGATCTGCCCTCTTTCTTGATGTCCAGGGTGAAGTGTAACATGGCACCTCCGCCCCTTCCTCTCTCCGTGGTGATATCCTGGTGTGAGAGCAGCCTGGCACAGCGGTGAGGCGACCGAATGCTTCCTGTAGCCGCTATCCCAGTGCTGAGCAGATCCACTGGAGAGCCAGGCTGAGAGAGAGGAACATCACTGAAGGAAGCCTCACACATCCACACGGCCAACCCCGGGCAGAGGTCTGTCTCCTGCCTGCGTGTGTGTATGTTAGACTGCGCTGGCCTAGGACACACAGTCCTGTCTGTCGCTACCACCCCAAAGTAACTGTGAGGACACAGATTCAGCCGATTTTCAACCCTGTTCCCGAAAACAAGCTCCAAATTTCTGACGTAAAATGGGAGGATCTTTGAACCTCATTCCCAAAGGAAAATCTTTTTTAAAAAAAGGCTGTTAACTCTTTCAGATCATTAAAAATTTGTCAGTTTCGAGCATATTGGTTCCGGTTTCTGTTTTGGAATGTTTTAGCTGCATTGTGGAACCGGAGCCGTCCCTTTGAATTTAATTTGGAGTTGAACTTTGGGTGTCATGTTAAAAGTGTCAGGCCCCTCGCCGAAGCAGAGCTGAGACATAAACCGTGAGCTTTTTTTTCACTCACTCCAAGCGGCGCTGAAATTTCAAGAGGAGACTGCTATCTGCTCTCAGCCTCTTGATCAAATAGTGAGAAAATTCCTAAATAAAAACTGAAAGAACTGCGGATGCTGTAAATCAGAAACAAAAACAGAAGTTGCTGGAAAAACTCAGCAGGTCTGGCAGCATCTGTGAAGAAAAAAATCGGAGTTAACGTTTTGGGTCCGGTGACCCTTCCTCAGAACAGAAGAAAAATCCAGCCGTCCCTTTCCACAAGAACTGAAACATTTGTTCCCGGTCTTTGCCCACACCGAATGCGTTAAACCCAGATTTTGTCAGAGATGGCGATAGTTCATTTCCAGCCAAAAACTGGACAGTTTAATAGATTAGGTGGCAGGGTGGGTTATTTGGGGTAACTTTCCGACTGGCAAACGACCGGAGAGCGATGGTAAATGAGAGAGGAAAGAGGGGGAAAAATGTTTGCATTTTTCAGTGCTTTTGAGAAATCTGCTCAAATGTGGCCAGAGGACTGTATTGGTTCTGCCCCTTCGTGGATGCAAAATGAAGTCAATCTTCAGTTCCGTGTCCCACAATCAGTATGTTTTTTTAGTCACACCGGCAGAGTCAAACTGCGTTCGTTACACCATGAGAGAGTCCCGTTAACAAGATCGGAGTTTGCAAAGATGGAGGGCACTGTCAAGGATTACCAGCAACGACTAAAATGTTCCAAATTAGTTGGATTACTGGAACGAAGTAAACCATTTTCAAAAAGGGAGGAATATATTTAAAATATAACTGGATTGCTCATAGGACTTGCTTAAACTTTAAGGTTGCAATACAGTTTCATTAGTCAGTTATAACGCCTTGCATGTTCAAAGACAGACTTCTTTAAAATCTCATGGAAGCATCTGCTTAATGAATTTAATCTTTAATAAATTGTGTGGCTCTCTAACATCATCTCTAACGCATCTCTAAATTTGACCAACATAGATTTCAGGAATGCGGAAGAAACTCAGCAGGTCTGGCAGCATCCGTGCAGAGGAAGCAGAGTTGACAGACCCGAAGGATTACTGGACTCGAAAGTTTACTTTGTTTTCTCTCCACTGATGTAGCTGATGTTCCAGACTTGCTGAGTTTCTAAGCAATTTCTGTTTTGTTTGGTTCAGATCTCCAGCATCTTCAGTTCTTTATTTTATATTAAATTTCACAACTGTTATGCTAATGGGAAGATTGATTTGGTTTTGACATTCTTTTAGCTTTACGAGAGGGTCCAGTACAACTTCCACAGCTGTGTGAGGGAGGGACAGCATTCAGCCTGCAAATTAACATCGAAAGACTGAATGAAAGATCTAAATCAAGTTGGAAAGGACGAAGCACAGCATCATGGAATGGGAGCAAATCACCACCCTATCAGTTTACTCTTGACCATCAAGAAAGTGATGCAAGTTATTGTAGACCGTGCTATCACGTGGCAGTCAGTCAGCATTCTCCAGCTGATAGGCGCCTTGTCAGTTTTCATCAGTACCAGTTAGCTTTTGACCTCATTAGAGTCTTAGTCCATATATGGACGAAAGAGCTAAACTGAAGACAGCCTTTGATTAAATGTGGCATCAAGCTGCTCTAGAAAAATTGAAATCAGTGGTAATCAGGGAGAAACTTGGTTAGAGTCAGACTAGCACAAAGAAAGATAATTATGGACAATGGAGGCCAATCAACGCAACCGCAGGACATCTCTGCAGCAACTCCTCAGAGGAACGTCCTCAGCCCAACCATCTTCGGCTGCTTCATCAATGAAATTCCTCAATCACAAAGTCAGAAATTGGGATTTTGCTGATGACTGCATAGAGTTGAGTATCATTCACAGCTCCTCAGCTACTGAAGCAGACCATCCCTGCATGCAGCAAAGCCTGAAAAATATTCGGGTTTGGGCTGACAGTGGCAAGTTACATACATATCTTGTAAATGCCAGGCGGTGACCATCTCCAACAAGAGAAAATTCAATCATCTTCCCTTGACATTAAATGGCATTAGAGTCACTGAATCCCCTACTTACAACATCCTGAGGTTTGCCGTTGACCAGAAACTGAATTCACCTATACATATAAATATAGTCACTAGGTTTAAAGGTGGAAATTTTGTGGCAAGTAACTTACCTCCTGTTTCCGCAATGATTGTGTATCATTTACTGACATAAGTCAGGAGAGTGATGAAATATTCTCCAGTTGCCAGGAAGACTGCAACTCCAGCCACACTCAAGAAGCTTGACACTATTTGGGACAAAGCATTCCACTTGATTGACACCCCATCCACCAGCTTCAACATTCACTTCCTTGACCAGCAGTGCACAGTGGTGAAAGTGGGTACCTTCTAAAAGATGTAGAGGTGCCAACTCTCCAATAGCACCTTGCAAAATAATTACCTCTACCACCTAGGACAAGGAAAGCAGAGGCATGGGAACACCACGACCTACATGTTCCCCTGCAAGCTACACAGCATCTAGACTGTTCCTTCACTGTTGCTGGGTCAAAGTCTTAGAACTCCCTTTGTAGCAGTGCTGTCACTGTACCAACACCACAGCAGTTCATGGTGGCCAACCACCACCAGCTTCTCAAGCATAGGTAGGGATGGGCCACAAATGCTGGACTTGGTAGACATGTTTCCATCCCATTGAAGAATAAAAAATGTGCTAAATTAGAGGGCCCTTATCAGAAGTTGCAAAGTGCTCGAAGCAGAGCTCAGTTGGGTATAGATGTTGAGCTCAAGGGACCATGCATGAATAGGGCACCTCTATAGCAGCAATGGAAAAAGTGTGCATCTCAGGCAAGATTTCCAGATGCAGTCCACACCAGTGGAGAGAGACTGGAAAAGTCCATCTCTAGCAGCAGTGCCATGATGTCCAAGGCAATTGCACTGATGTCCGCTTCTGCAGTAAGAGTGTCCCCCTGTCAGGATGTCTATAATAATGATCATGTATTATGTGTGTTGTTATTTAAATGAATTATGCATTTTATTTATAATTTTCATTTTTCTGCCATCTGCTTTGTTGTGTCACAAATTCCAAATGGACAGTTGGCCTGAGGTGAATGATATGATCAAGTTGGATGCTGAGAAAAGACTTTGAACGTCATGATGAGACTTTTGAGTATGGGAACGATTTGTGTTGGAATAAGGTTGAAAGCACTGTGCATTATGGCTTCTCATACTGAGATTAGTTGTAAAAGTGCCTGTACATGGCTGTTGCAAGGCTCTCTAGTCATCAGGTGAGAATCTGGACTCACTCTAGTCACATTTGGCTTCTCCTCCAGACCTTCGTTTTGCTCTTTTCCTTTGCCTTCTTCAGAGAAATATGCAAAGTTTTCTACGCCTTCTTCCTGTTGCAGCTCTGAGTCCTCTCTGCAGCATGATGTTCTGCAATGCACAGCAGACAACTACCCTTATTGGTACATACTGAAGGGGCACCTGAATCGTAACTGCAACCCAGTCGTTTGCTCAGTGATAATCTATATGCTTATTTGATTCTTATTGTATCTTTGCTCTGCATCAGTGGTAGGGTTCCTCACTTTTATTGTGAGGTATGCTCTTAAAGGATAGCCCTGGGCTCCAAGGAGCTGACCCTGTTGGAAGTGTGAAAATCTATGAGAGATGTGATTAGCATGAAATGAAGGAAACACGATAGCTTCCAGATTATCTTACATAGACAAGTACAAAAACATTCTGGTGATCTAAAAGGGGCTGAACGTTGAGGCAGCAGAATTCCTTCCAACTAATAAATACTTAAGTTAATTTGATTGCCACATGTATAAATTATATGTCTAACTGTACCTGTATCTGCAGAAAATGTGAAAGCCCTCTGTACATGACTGACTTCACTTGTGTCAAAATAGATGCAGCAGGTGGCTTTGGTAGACATTGTTTGAGTCATCTGGAAGAAACACTTATGGGCAGCAAATTGTGAAATCCTGGATATGTCACCAGTGGATGCCAGGAAGAACCAGAGGCAAAGAAATTCAGAGAATAGTGACCCTTGACAGGCACTGGCAATGCAAACTCACGTAGCCATCTTGGAAAGTGGCCTCATTCCAGGAGATGGCAAATATCAACAGTAAACTGCCATAGGAGACTGATCCTAGTGGCTGCGTCATATCAAGAAAGATAATCCAATCCCTGCACCCCTTCTAGTGAAGTTATCTTCTCCTTCAAGCTAGAGTTCTGTGTCCATTCCTTCTGCCTTATTAAAAGTGCACATTTTGTTGGTGTTCATAGAATCCCTACAGTGTGGAAACAGGCCCTTCAGACCAACAAGTCCACACCAACCCTTGGACATCCCACCCAGACCCATCCCCCCACAACCCACCTAAACTGCACATCTCTGAACACTACGGGTAATTCAGCATGGCCAATCCACCTAACCTGCACATTTTTGGACTATGGGAGGAAACTGAAGCACCTGGAGGAAACCCATGCAGACACGGGGAGAATGTGCAAACTCCACACAGTCAGTCGCCTGAGGGTGGAATCAAACCCAGGTCCCTGGTGTTGTGAGGCAGCAGTGCTAACCACTGAGCCTCTGTGTCACCCCAAATTTTTTGCTATTCCTTCTGCAGCTGGTTTTGACATGATAGCTTCTCTTGTTGCGTGTCAGATGTCTATGTTACATCTGCAGACACTGTTCTATTGCTGTAATGAAAGTTGACAGCAGTGATGGTTAGATCATAGTGAGTTCAACTCAGTGAAATAACTTTAGAAAAAATGA